TGATGAACAAAGAAAATCTTATTTTAGAGCCAGGAATGTCTGCATTGTTCATTCTGGACCTTATTTTTGAAATTGTCGTATTTTTTAATTTTCGTGAAATTGGCCAAATTGCAAATTTCTGACCATGTTATTGGGTAGTTGAAATCGGTAAATGGGCAGTTTCTTGTGCTCAATCGATAGAAAAAATAGAGTTCTGAATAAATAGTTATGAGTTTGGTTGACTGGAATAACGGAATTAGCCGAAAATAGGGCTCAAAGTGGGCGAAATTGCCGATTTTTAAATATCGCCGAAGTCGCTAACTTCGCGAGAGCGTAATTCCGTCAGTTTTCCATCAAATTTCGTTTTTTTTGGTGTCTTTACAATCGGGAAAAGATTCTCTATCATTTCATAAGAAAAAATAATTTTTTTTTTTCGAATATTTTGCGACACCAGGAGCAACTTCAGGATTGGGCCCTTCGACAGTCAAAGGGTTAACCCTTTCAGGGTTTCGGCTGTACTAGTACGGCTTACGCCCCAGGGTTTTTGACGTACTAATACGCCTAAATTCTAGCGCCCTCAAATCAACCGAGAGAAGGCTGGTAGGCCTACATATGAAAGAATGGGTCTATGTGGTCAGTGTGAGCAGTATAAAAAAAAATCCTGCAGCACACAGTGCGTAATGAGATAAAAAAAACTTTGACCGTGTTTTTGGATTAAAACAGCGACTTTGCATTGTATTTTCGTATGGTATTTATTGTTGTATTCTAGTTTTCCTGGTCTTGTTTTATAGAATGGAAGACATATTACAGATATTGAGATGATTTTGACTGATTTTACAATGAAAAGTACCTTGAAATTGAGCTCAAAGTAGCAGAAATGTTCGATTTTTAACAAAGTTCAAAAGTAAACAAATCATGCTAAACGTCCAATACACGTCAACTGGTGAGTCTAATATCCTTTCACAAGTGCGCTGATATTATTTATACCATTTCTACACTAATGCAGTAGTCTGCATAACAGTAAATCTTCCATTTTTTTGTGAGAAAAATTCAAAGTGGAAAGCAAAAGAATGTAAGAGGGGCGTGGGGACGTGACTAATGAACAGAGGAAATGTTATTTTAGTGCCAGGAATGTCTTGTTTATTCTGGACCCTATTTGGAAATTGGCATCTTTTGAAATTTGTGTGAAATTGGTAAAATTGCTAAATTCTGTATTGGATAATTGAAATCAGTCAATGGGTGGTTTCTTGTACTCATTTGATAGAAAAAATGGAGTTCTAGCGAAATAGTTGTGATTTTTGTCAACTAGTACACTGGAATTGGCCGTAAATAGGGCTCAAAGTGGGCAAAATTGCCGATGCGTAAACATCGTCGAGACCGCTAACTTCGCGAGAGCATAATTCCGTAAGTTTTCCATCAAATTTCATACTTTTGGTGTCCTTATGATCGGGAAAAGATTCTCTATATTTTCATAAGAATTTTTTTTTTTTTTTTTTTTAAATTTGGGCGACCTGAGAACAAGTCTGGGAGAGGGCCTGGGGATCCTGAAAGGGTTAAGGACATTTGTGCAAAGTGGAATGAGGTGCAAACTTCTGTGGAAAAATATCACCCTGACCAAGCTGATGCAAGCCATATCTGCAACATATTCAGTGATAATACCTTGTCCCATTTTAGGCAAATCTTAGAGACGCCAGAAACAGAGCTCTATGGACAGATTTCTTGTACGACAGGGGTCCAGTGCCAGTAAAAGACAAAGAAGGGAAGTAACCCTGGATAGGGCTTTGATACCTGAAGTCCTTATGGAGGGGGATTACCCTTCCAAACAACCTCTGCTCTTCCTCCCTCTCCCCTCCTCGTCCATTTCATTAGTCATTTATATTTCTTTCTCATTGTTTTCTTTATGTAAAACTATAGTTATTCTTTAAAAAATGTATTTTTTGTTAATATTTTTGGGTGGCTGGAACGGATTACCTGTATTTACATTATTTATGAGAAATATTGCTTCAGTTTTCGTTCATTTCGGATTTAGACCGACCTTCTGGAACGGATTGAGGGCGAAATCTGGGGTTCCATTGTATTAATAAATATAAATAGGGAGAAATATTTATGGAGACTGTCAGAGGTTGCATCCCACAGGGCTAGGGCACTGTGGAATGTTCAATATATCTATAGTACAAACAAAGGTAACAAGTTAAATGCAATAAAAATAAGCCAACATAAATTTTGAGAATATCAGGTCAGAAAATCAGCAGATGCAATTCACTGCTGAAAAATGTAAGTCCTAATCATATACACTAAATACAGTACAATAATATACAACTTAAACCAAATGTAAAAAAAAAAAAGTCAAGACATGATCAGCAAAGTTCTGAAGAACTTTTATCAACTATAAGTGAATCACAGACAGAGGAAGTTCCAAGGTTAATTATACAGTATTCTACTTCGACTCTGAATATCACTGGAAAGATTACGTTTAGATTTTGTGGCAAAGTTTGGATCTCTGCATGATATAAATGCATTGGAAAACATTTTGAAGGGATGACAAAGTTTATCATCTATACACGTTAAGAATTTTTCCTACGAGTCTTTTTAATACAGCATAAAGATGCTAAAACTATCTAACCAGTACAGAACTCAAAACAGTACAGTGGAACCTCAGTTTTTGTCATTAATTCGTTCCAGAAAGTCTGACGAAAACCAAATTTGATGAAAATTGAAGCAATATTTCCCTTAAATAATGTAAGTCCAATTAATCCATTCCTGACACCCAAAAGTATTAACAAAAAATACAGTTTATAGAGAATAACCATAGTTTTACATACAGAAAACAATGAGAAATAAATATAAAGGACTAATTAAATGGATAAATGAACATTTAACATCACTTTTACCTTTATTGAAGACTCTTGTTGGCATATGGAAGATGGTGAGGAGGGGAGGGGTAGGAAAGGTTATCTCTACCACCATCACTATCACCCTCTACCACCATCACTATCACCCTCTACCACCATCACTATCACCCTCTACCACCATCACTATCACCCTCTACCACCATCACTACCACCCTCTACCGACGAGAAGCAAAGCCAGACAAACTCAGAATGCATGAGATGCTTTGTGTGGGGTGGGCGGACACGTTTGGTACGACAGACAACTGTCAACTCGACGAAAACCGAGGTGATAACGAAAATTGGGACAAAATTTTGATTAAAAAAGTTGTCTAAAACTGAATTCAATGAAAACCAGGGCAATTGAAAACCGAGGTTCCACTGTAGTTTAAAATAAGATAAATTCACTTTTATTGTATATACATCATTGAATTTGCAAGCTAATTTATAAGCTAAGTTATTCTACCTTGCCCTTCAAGCGCAAGACTGAACGTGACTGCCGCCCATTTTACCAGGTGATGTATGACCCCTAAGAGTTTAGTGCTTCCCCCAATGAATGTAATAATATTCTACCTCAGCTTATTTCAAGGCCCAGCCCTAAGATATGCTACTAAAGTAATCCCCAATAGCTATGCAGTCCACAACAGTCGACTAACACCTAAGTACATAACAGGTGAACAGAGATAAGGACTTGCCTATACTCTTCACCAGCCTCAGGACTGAATCCGGGTCATTTGGTTTCTAATCAAAAATGCTACCATTGAGCCACCTTGGAAAGGATAGAGGAAAATCATAGTTTGGTAGATGCATATGAGTGGAGCACTATAACTCTCAAGTAGTGCCAGCAAAACCAATACTTATGAATAGCTTCATAAAACAGGTTTGAGAGCTACAAGAGTGGGAATGACTGTGTAAGACATAGCTCACCTAATGCTTCTGCATTCTTATATCATTGCAGGGAAAAACAAATTCTGATCTGATAAACAGCATATAGTATGAAAGTAATATTAATTTTGCCCACGCTGTAAATTGTGGAAAGAATGAATAAAAGTTAATTTTGCGTGCTACATGAAATTTACAATATATACCATATTCATTTGGACGAGACAACAATATGAGGAATGTCATGAACTTTAATAATTTCAATAAACTGTAGAAATACCCTAGGTTAAGTCGTCATAAATGTCACCTTCGTATATCTATAATGGCAATATGCAATATAACAATCTGTTTCATTTTAATGACAATTTACTTGTATGTACTTAGTCTTAAATAAAGCACTAAGTGGCTTTCAATGGTAATACAGCAGTATAACCAGATCACCTTCCATCATTCCTGCTATGAGTCTTATATAAGTTGTCACATTACTTCACACCACTCAGAATGTCAATACTGCATAAATAATGTATATAACCGAGTCCAACAGATATGTCTGTGGAGCCATTGGGACAAAAATACCAAATTCTGAATGAAAATGGAGCATGAACTAGACCAAACATGTATTGCATAATGCTAGTATACCGCCTCGCCCTCAAGACGAAACTGGTCAAGAATATTACTTTTATGTAAATATATATAATGTATATATAAAATATATAATGTATATATATATAATATATATATATATATATATATATAAAATATATATATATATATATATATATGCATTCTTACAGAAAAAAAAATAGTTTTGGGGTATGTTGAAGAGCGGCAATAAATATCAAAAATTGTTTTTGACCTGAAGAGGTCATTAAGAGATCACAGAAAACGGAGCCTCATGGTAAACATTGGCCAGCTGTGATACAGAATCATCTAGAACACTCAAAGCACTTATACACCAGAGGGACACGCCTTCACACCCTGGCTGGGCAGTATCTTGTTTTCCAGCGGTAATACTATATGTAATTTCCCTCGCACACTAATGTTCGCAATGATGCGGTCACAAACAAAAACACAGGAATGGTAACCACAGGGTTTTACATCACTTTAACACTATTATCCTCATCTTGGCAAGCCTTCTGGAACACTTTCCCTATTCCCCATTGTCTATTTATTCCCGGTGTAGCGTTATTTTCAATGTATCCTTGCAGATACTCGTATAATATCAGAAAAACCGGAGATGATCCGCATCACCTGCTTGAGAATCAACGAAGGTTTAACCATACACAACACACTACAACACCGCTGCCTCCCATTGGCTCTTCATCTATGACGTTTCATAAACTTGCTCTCTGATTAGTTTCTAGTTCGTGACGTCATATCTCGCACGTTGTGGAAATATTATGGGTTTTTAAATAAGCGTCTGGCAAAATTAATGCATTATTTGCTAGAAATACACGACAGAAGGGTTCTATTCATTCAGAAATTGGTTGCCTTACCTCTGAAGACTTTTTCTTCCTTTTCTTGTCATTATCACGACGAGGGAGAGATGTTTCGCTGGGAGTAATTTCCACAGTTTTTATTGGATCTTTTATTAGCGTTTGACTGTAGTCAATTTCAATCGGTTCACCGAACACAGTCGAAGGAGACATACTTCTCATGACAGGAAGCTCTTCCATCACCGGAACATCCATCTCGCCAACTAAAATCTGGAATTGAAAGGCAACAATAATTATCCACCAAAAATATACTTAGTGTACTTGCAGTGTCATGCTTAACTATCAGAAACCTTGAATAACAGTCTACAAGTTTAGTTTAATACTTTTTTAAAAGACATTGAAACGCCAACACAGGTTACATTTGACCAGCTGATTCACAGACGACACTAACCTGTACCATCTTGGTCGATATGAAGGCGTAACACAGGCTAATAAGGTGCTACAAGGACAAAAACTGGGATGCGAGGCGGTGGTTGTGCTCTGTACAGAGTTACCCTAAAACTCTGCTCATCAGAGTAGCATGGGGCCCCTCACTACGCATGACGACCAAGGACACATGATACTACACTAACTTCTACCTCAACACTACCCATTTATTTATAGACGCAGTAAAAATCTTATCTTCACTTGACAATATCGTGCAGCTGTCATGGGTATGTATCTGAAGCCAAGTTGGGTATCCTACCTAGCCAGTTCCAGTGCTACGCAACTGTGCATTCCCTCGGGCATGCTTTAAGACAAACGTTTTCGTTTGTAATTCTTTGTTGTGTTTCATCATTGAAGCTATACTCATGTTGATACACCAACCCTGATTCTCAGTACCATGATTCATCATATATGAAACATGTTTAATGTACAACTTCTGCAGTGACTTTCCAGGCTGACCGTCGGACACACACACATAATTCGGAATAAGCTTATTTAACTTAATAAACATGGAAAAAAAATAAATTCTGCAGATGAACAATGCCTTATTGTAATCTAACTGCAAGAGTATAATTGAAACTGAAAATAAGTATCTTTCTCATATTAAACCACGCAATATAACAAAACGCTTTTATTTATATATATATTATATATATATATATATATATATATATATATATATATATATATATATATAAAACTGATCTCTGGCTGAAGGAGACTCGAACCTACGAACCTTGGAACAAGGTACGCAGTGCTTTACCAATCTACCTACACTGGACCAATACCTTGAAGTCCAGCTTGCGCTAGACTTTGATCCAAGACAGTCAGCTTTCAGGGAGAAGGCTTACAGCTTTTCATCTCATCCCCTGCATGCATCAGCCTTACTGGAGATATTAACAATGCAAGGAATTCGCAAGAGCAGGCGAAATATACACAAACACTCATCTCTGGCTGAAGGAGACTCGAACCTATGAACCTTGGAACAAGGTACGCAAAATACCTCTCTAAACTCTTGGGCACTATCAGTCCAGCACATCTCAAACACTCGGGTGATCGTCTCAATCGCATTCGCAACATCAACATCAGGAACAAGAAACTTTCTAGCCCTGACGTGACTTCCCTATTCACCAAAGTACCTACTACACAACCCATCGATCTTTTGCGCAGGAAAATTGACGATTCACTTGATCTTCCTATTCCAGCCGGCGATTTCATCGACCTTGTTAAACTGTGTTGGCTTTACGTGTTTCTCTTTCGAAAATCCCCTCTTTCAGCAGACTTTTGAACTACCCATGGGTTCGCCACTCAGTGCGGTCCTGGCGAACCTATACATGGAACATCTAGAAGCCGAACGTTTCTCCACCATTATTCCTTCGTCTGTCACCTGGCTCCGTTATGTTGACGACATTCTCCTCATAACTCCTAGACGCTTCAACGTTCAAGCTCTCCAAGACAAGCTCAACCAGGTCGAGCCTTCAATCCAGTTCACACTTGAAGTCGACAACACACTTCCTTTCCTTGATGTTCTTCTCTGCAAGCTGACCACGAACTTCGTTTTAAAGTCTATCGAAAACCCACCAACCAAAACGATCTTCTCCACTTCTACTCTCACCACGACACCAAAACTAAACGTGGTGTAATTATAGGCTTCTTCCTGCGTGCACTCAGAATCTGCAGCAATGAGTTTCTTGAGGAGGAATGCACTATAATTGAACAAGTATTTTCTAAACTCCACTATCCTCGTCAATTCATCAGAGACTGCAGACGACGGGCATTAAACATCTTCAACACACCCAGAGAAGAAACTGCCGAGAAGAGATACATAGTCCTACCCACCAACTCCATTGCCAAACACGTTTCCAACATCTTTTCCAATACCTCATTCCAAGTATCTACCTCCACAACCACGACCATCAAGGACATTACCAGTGAGAGACAGGACAAGCTTCCACACTCGGCAAGGGTATACATAATCCCTTGTAATGACTGCAACAAATTATACGTAGGCCAAACATCAAGGGAGCTCCAAACACGTATTTCAGAACACCAATACGCAAGCAGGTCTGACGACACAAGGAATGCCTGTGTACAACACCGTAATTCACACAACCACTTAATAAACTACAGAAACTCAAGACTTATCGCCACAGAAGACAACACTCAATACCGAAGAATCCTGGAATCATCGCTTATTTCTATACCCGACAACTTCAACCAGAATAGTGGCCTCTATAACATAGCTGAACCACTTGCCAAGAAACTTCATCACTATCCCACATAAGAACATAGGAATGGAAGAACACTGCAGAAAATCTGCTCACAAACTTATTCAATCTCCCTTTCAAGCCAAGATTTTAGACTCTATAACCCCACTCGGTACATCATCAGATGCAGCATTCTCCACCTGACCTCAGCATTCTGAACCTGATTATAAATACTCGCGTACCTTCCACCCCAGGTAGATCTGTTTGTGACTTGAAAAAGCCCACTGTGTGGGCGAAACGTTGTCAATAAAGGATCACATTATACTGCATGTGTGTTTATATTTCCAAACTTTTCATTAGCCTTTGACAAGTGTGACCATGGTGTAATAGCGCACAAAATGCGTGATAAAAGAATAACAGAAAAAGTTGGTAGATGGAAAAAGTAGTAGTAAACAGAGTAAAGTCTGAAGCGACCACGGTGAAAAGCTCTGTTCCACAAGGTACAGTACTCGCTCCAATCCTGTTCCTCATCCTCATATCTGACTTAGACAGGGATATAAGCCACAGCACCATGTCTTCCTTTCCAGATGACACCCGAATTTGCATGAGTGTCCTCCACCGAAGACACTGCAAGACCTAATCTTTAAATAGGCCGCAGTAAACTATATAAAGTTCAATGATGAGAAATTTCAATTACTCCGATATGGAAAACGTGAGGAAATTAAAACTATATCGGAGTATAAAACAAATTTCAACCACACAGTAGAGCGAAAAACTAATGTAAAAGACCTGGAAGTGATCATGTCAGAGGATCTCACCTTCGAAGACCATAACATTGTATCAATCGCATCTGTTGGAAAAAAATGACAGGATGAATAATCTTCAAAACGAGGGATGCCAAGCCCATGATGACACTCTTCAGGTCACTTGTTCTATCTAGGCTAGAATATTGCTGCACACTAACAGCACCTTTCAAGATAGGTGAAATTGCTGACCTAGAAAGTGTAGAGAACCTTCATGGTACACGTAACTGCAATAAAACACCTCAATTACTGGGAACGCTTGAAGTTCCTCAACCTGTACTCCCCAGAACGCAGGCGGGAGAGATATATGATTACATACACTTGGAAAATCCTAGAGGGATTAGTACCAAATTTGCACACGAAAATCACTCCCTATGAAAGCAAAAGACTCGGCAGACGATGCAACATCCCCCCAATGAAAAGCAAGGGTGCCACTAGCACGATAAGAGACACAGTACGTGTCTGAGGCCCAAGATTGTTCAACTGCCTCCCAGCATACATAAGTGAGATAACCAATAGACCCCTGGCTGTCTTCAAGAAGGCACTGGACAGGCACCTAAAGCCAGTACTTGACCAGCCGGGCTGTGGTTCGTACGTCGGGTTGCGTGCGCCCAACAGTAAGAGTGGTTGACCAGGCCCTAATCCACCATGAGGCCTGGTCACAGACCGGACCACGGGGGCGTTGACCCCCGAAACCCTCTCTAGGTATACTCCAGGTATTCCTGGACCCCTGTTGGCATATTGCTTCCTAGTGAATATAATCTCCGTGTATAATTCATGGTAGTTTGTCAAACAAGCCTCATACCGTTAATAAAATAAACAAGAGTTTCATGTAATAATATTTTTGTATCAATATTGCATAAAATATTTCACCAATGTTGTTAATATCAATGTACTATAATTTAGCTTAATCCTTCCCTACGTATTATAATTCAGCAGACTGGTTTTCCAGGAGTTATTGAAAATAAATTTGAACAGCTTCGGTAACACGATCGCTGTTGAAGCCATTATATATATATGTATATATATATATTATATATATATATATATTATATTTATATATATATATATATATATATATATATATATACATATGTCGTGCCGAATAGGTAAAACTTGCTATTTTGGCTTAAATAGCAACGCTCTTCTTGCCGAATAAGGCAAGCGAAAATTTGTGTATGCAATAATATCGCAAATTCATTCTGAACCTTACGAAAGAAATATATTTCATTGTGTTTGTTTATTAAATTATTGTAAACTTATCTAAAATATATGTAGTTAGATTAGGTTAAATTAAATTTTGTTATAATAAGGTTGGGTAAGTTTTCTAAGGTTCTTTTGGTACAAAATTATTAATTTTTACATTAACATAAATGAAAAAATATATCTTTAAACGTATAAGAGAAAATTTTAGGACTTAATTTTAAATGAGTTCTTGCTAATTGGCCAGTTTTACCTATTCAGCACGCCATGTGTGTTGTATATATATATATATATATATATATATATATTTTATATATATATTATAATATATATATATATATAATT